TCTGTCTGTGAAGAGTCACCGGTCCAAAAATGAGCCCCCAGACCTCCGAGATGGACCTGGACCCTCAGACACAGAGTAAGAGAACAAACACAGAGAACTCAGGATGAATATGGAAGCATTGAGTTTAGAATTTAAAAGCAGAGTTTTCTTTCTAAACGATGTTAGTGACAGAGAAATGTGTTCACAGAGGGGGGAGGAGTGGATTCTGTGAGGAGCAGCTGTCCAGCTGTGCTCTGTGTCGGGGCGTCCTGAAGGACCCGGTTTCTTTCAGCCCTGGTCACTGGTTCTGCAGGCACTGCAGCTCTTCATACTGGGACCAGGCTGGTTCACCAGGAGACCCCCTCCATCCCCAGTGTGGAGAAAGGACCAGAGCAGGACCTCAGACGGACAGTCAAAGCAGAGCTGCAGCAGGTCAGACATGTCTGTTCCCAGCTGGTGAATCATGGGAGATTTAGCTCGGAAGAAATGTTTTCTGTGTGGAGCCAAAAAACTGCTGGAGTCCGAAAGTTGAAGGAGAAATGCTGCTGAACATGAAGTGCTTTGTGTTTCTGATGTGTCTGCCCTCTGATCAGCAGACGCTGGCCTCCAGCAGCTATTGGAGGAGCACCAGATCAGCCTGAGGAGCAGATGTGAGCGGGTGACAGAAGGAACAGATGCAACAGGAAGTGGAACCCTCCTGAACCAGATCTACACAGAGCTCTACATCACCGAGGGCCCCAGTGGGGAGGTCCAGACCCAGCATGAGGTCAGACAGCTGGAGGCCTCCAGGAGCCTCCAGGACGCTCCAATCAGGTGCCACGACATCTTTAGAGCCTCAGCGGAGCAGCCTGGAGCCATCAGGGTGGTCCTGACCAGCGGCGTGGCCGGCGTGGGGAAAACCTTCTCGGTGCTGAAGTTCACTCTGGACTGGGCCCAGGGCCTGGAGAACCAGGACGTGGGGCTGGTGGCCCTGCTGTCGTTCAGGGAGCTGAACCTGCTCAGAGGGGGGCGGCTCAGCCTGCTGGGGCTGCTGGAAGCTTTCCATCCAACATTACAGGCGCTGGGGGCCGAGCAGCTGGCGGCCTGCAGACTTGTGCTCATCTTCGATGGCCTGGACGAGAGCCGGCTGGACCTGGACTTCAGCAGCAGCCCGGTCCTGACCGATCCCACCCAAAGCTCACCACTCAGCTGGCTGCTCGCCAGCCTCATCAGGGGGGACCTGCTGCCCTCGGCTCTGGTCTGGATCACCTCCCGCCCGGCGGCCGCCAACCGGGTCCCGCCGGCGTGCGTGGATCGGCTGACGGAGGTCCGAGGATTCAGCGACCCCCAGAAGGAGGAGTACTTCAGCAGGAGGTTCAGGGACCAGGAGCTGAGCAGCAAGATGGTGTCCCACATCCGGAGCTCCAGGAGCCTCCACACCATGTGCGCCGTCCCCGTCTTCTGCTGGATCTCTGCCTCCGTCCTGGAGCATCTGCTGGGCAGCCAGCAGACGGAGGAGCTGCCCAGCACCATGACCCAGCTGTACGCCCACTTCCTGCTGGTCCAGACCCACAGGAAGAGGAACAAGTACCCTGAGGCCCAGCAGGCGGGTCCAGGGCAGCTGGCCCCGGCTGACAGAGACCTCCTGCTCAGGCTGGGGAGGCTGGCCTTCCAGCACCTGGAGACAGGGAGCATCATGTTCTACCAGGAGGACCTGGAGCGGTGCGGGCTGGAGGTATCCGAGGCCTTGCTGTACTCAGGAGTTTGCACAGAAATCTTCAGAAAAGAGAACGTGATCTTTCAGAGAGCCATCTACAGCTTTGTCCACCTGAGCGTCCAGGAGTTCCTGGCCGCTCTCTACCTGCTGCACTGCTACAGCCAGAGGGACTTGGAGGGGCTCAGACGTTTCCTGGGAGACGACTACAGTTATTCATCTCTGGATGACTTCCTGAAGAGGGCCATGGTGAAATCCTGTGAGAGTCCCAACGGCCACCTGGACCTGTTGGTCCGCTTCCTTCACGGCCTGTCTTTGGACTCCAACCAGAGGCTGCTAGCAGGCCTGCTGGGTCCGAACCACAGCAGTCCAGAAACCATCCAGAGAATTAAAAACAACCTGAAGGAGATTAGTGTGTATGACATCTCTCCTGACAGGAGCATCAACGTCTTCCACTGTTTGATGGAGATCAGAGATCTCTCAGTTTTCCAGGAGATCCAAGAGTTCCTGAAGTCAAAGAACAGATCAGAGAAGAAGCTCTCAGAGATGCAGTGCTCAGCTCTGGCCTTCATGCTGCAGATGTCTGATGAGGTTCTGGACGAGTTGGACCTGGAACATTACAACACAACAAAGGAGGGAAAACACAGACTGATTCCAGCTGTGAGGAACTGCAAGAAGGCTCGGTGAGTTGAGGATTAGCAGCTCAGCTACCTTTTACACCAGCAGCAGAGACTTCCAGCTACTTTTTCTACAGCAGTTCCACAGCAGGACACTTCCTGTTGGGGCATGTTTTCATGAATCCTGAGAGCTGTGTTGATGCTGTTTTTCTCTTAGTAGACTCAGAACTCAGAGATCGGTCATTGATACGGGGAACAGATGTTCATCAGAGACACTGTGTTCAGTTCTATGGATTTTTCTTTCTCAGGGGACTCTTTCCTCCTTCAATGTCTCAGATAAAGTCTTCTCATACTTTATCTCTGAATGTTTTGTCTTGAGGACTGCTACAGGTGCAGGTTTCTCTGGTGGAGACAGACTTTACCCCACATCTCGGACTCAGCGGGGTATAAACTGTACTAGGATTTAGTTTTACTTTAGAGCAAAACTAAATTGTCCTATTAACCCCTTGTATGATCCTGCTGGCTCTCACTTCATGAAGTTTTCCCTTATAATAGATTTCTATTTCTTCCTTCCTCCGAAGGACTCAGAATCTCCTTTGAAATAGAATTTCCACAACAAGTCACTGAATTCATTATTATTATTACTTTTTCTTTTCTCCAACCTCAGACTTGCTGGATGTGAACTCTCAGAACATCACTGTGAAGTTGTGGCCTCCGCTTTAAAGTCCAATCCCTCCCACCTGATAGACCTGGACCTGAGTCAGAACGTTTTAGAGGACTCAGGAGTTGAACACGTGTCCGCTGGCCTGGAAAATCCAAACTGCAAACTGGAGATCTTAAGGTCAGTTTCATCCTCTGGAGGCTTCAACACTTTCAGAAAGCTCTGCAATGTCTGTTGTGAATAAGATATTGAAACACAACTCACAGTAACAGGTTCTGCCTCTGTCAGCTCTTTAAATAAGGTTGACTCCTTGTCCCTTTCAACAAATGTCTACAGACCGTTTAACCTGCATCCTGTTGTCTTCACCTCACATCTTTTATTCCTGCTTCAGAATGAGGGGCTGCAGGATGTCAGAGATCGCTTCTGCTGCTGTGGTCTCAGCTCTGAAGTCCAACCCCTCCCATCTGACAGAACTGAACCTGACCTGGAACGACCTCTCTGACTGTGTGATGAAGGAGCTGAGCAGCTTTCTGCAGAGTTCACTCTGTGTGTTGCAGACGCTGAGGTCATGTTTTGGGCCCTTTTTTTGCCTTCCCATTAATTTCCTATGGGACAGCGTTGCGCCCTTTTTCGCCATTAATTAAAAAACGCCGGGACTAATGAGAAAGATACATACAAGAAAGCGTTCCGTGGTCAGTTCAGACGCGCGTGTCTTTTTTGGGCCCAATCCGTTGAACAGTGTGGGACTAGTTAGGTGCCGAATATCGGGCGGGAACAGGATAACTATCATATTTGCAATAGTATTAGGGGAGCTTTGTTGGCTTCAGCTCACATATTTTATTCTTTTTTCAGATTGAATAGATGCAGTTTGTCAGAGATCAGCTTTGCTGTTCTGCTCTCTGCCCTGAGGTTCAACCCCTCCCTTCTGAAAAATCTGGACCTGACTGGGAACACCATCTCTGACTGTGTGATGAAGGAGCTGAGCAGCTTTCTGCAGAGTCCACTCTGTGGACTGAAGGCTCTGAAGTAAAGTGTGTTTTCTTCCTCAGTGGTTTAGTTCCTGAAATAGCAGTTATTCAAATAAGAACAAACAGTGAATTTCTTTGACTAATATAAAACTAATATAGAATCACTTGCTAATTAGAGCTGGCACGATGCATCAATGTAAAAAATATGTTGAAGCAAAATTTGCGTGCCTATACTTTGGACCCAAAACAAAGATGGCGGCACTGGAGAGTTGTAGGTGAAGCAAGTGGCTATAGAGAATTTCTAAAGTGCAAACCACACATCCGTTCATTGAAACGTTAACGAGCTGCTGGCTCCTTCTGCAGATATATATTTTTTGGGGGGGAAAAACACTTCCTGTATCAGCTTGAAGTGGTCAAGTTTACATTAGTTACTGTTTTCTTTCAGTTGCACTAAAAGTATTCTGGGTGAGTTCTGCATTTTATATCGAATGCAACCTCAGACTCAGAATACATAATTTTGCACTCATATATTCTTACTTGAATTTTATTTTGGAAGTTCAAGAGCAATAAACATGCGTTGCAATGTTAAGGAATTTGTGTTCTTCCACTCAGATATGTAAATCGACATGTATAAATGTCTACATTAATTAAATAATGGGGTAATAATCGTTGGTTGAATAGAAATTTTATCGAATTGAAAAATGAGTCGTTAGATTAATCGTTCAAAAAGTAATTATATTGCCCAGCCCTATTCCAGATGCGTCTAGAGGTCAAGAGTTAGTGAATGTTTGCCATATTATTACATTACTATACTAAATATGAAATATCAGTGCTCCTGACGTTAAAAAAGATTAATTTATTTAAATTTCAGAGCTAAAGTCACTGCATCTTTATGTGTTTGTGTTTATGTTTATGTTTATGTTTATGCGTCTTTACTGAAGCAGCACCATGTTGTCATTAATATCCATGAAAGCTCTGGTTCTGTTTTACTGTTCTATCCTGCATCCTGTCGGCCTCTGCTCACGTCTTTTATTCTTTATTCAGAATGGAATACTGCGATTTGTCAGAGGTCAGCTGTGCCTGTCTGGCCCCAGCTCTGAAGTCCAAACCCTCCCATCTGACAGAACTGGACCTGAGTTGGAACCACCTGACGGACGCAGGGGTGAAGGAGCTGAGCAGCTTTCTGCAGAGTCCACTCTGTGGACTGGAGACTCTGAGGTCAGACTCTGTGTTTCAGGGGTCTGATGATCACATATTTTGACTCAAAAGAAATTACGAAGAATGTTTTTTAAGGGGGAAAATAACATTAGTGGACTGTGGTAGTTTACAGTCAATCTGTTGCTGGGCACCAGCAGCAGGAAGGAAGCTGTGGGTGTGTGAGCAGCTTTACAATAGCTGGGAAATGTGTAAAAACGTGAAGTACAGGCAACGTTTGAGAGCTGAGCACCCAGGAAGAGTCTGCTGCTTCCGGTTCTGTTTCCCTGATGGTTTATTGGAGCTGTTTTACTCACTTTCTCTGTGTGTTGAACTGCGTAGGACCACCGACTCCAGCTTTGCTGACATTATGACCTCTTTCAGTGAGGAACACAAACAAACACACATCCCATTATGTTCAGTTTAGGCAACTGGAAGAGAAGTTGCCTAAACTGAACTTTTCAAGCTTGACCATGACCTCACATCTTTTATTCTTTATTCAGATTGAAGAGCTGCAGTTTGTCAGAGGTCAGCTGTGCGGCTCTGGCCTCAGCTCTGAGGTCCAACCCCTCCCATCTGACTGAACTGGACCTGACCTGGAACGACCTGAAGCAGTCAGATGTTCAGCAGCTGTTGGATCTCAAGCAGAATCCCCACTACAAACTGAAGACTCTGAGGTCAGTAGAGGGTTTGAGGTCTGCGGAGCACAAACACTCCTTCATCTGCTCTTTCTGCTCCCGTCTGCAGGTGGAAGTGGTGAAGAGGAAGATGAGTGTGGAGGGAAAGATCTGCAGACTGATGGTCAACAGAGGCGGAGGCAGCAGAGAGACTTTAATGATGATATAAATTCGATTTCTGGGTTTTTCCTCCCCTAACTTTAGAGTTGGCTCATAAATGAATATGATCCGTTAGCCCGACTCTTTTATTGGAAGCCTGAGAATAGACCAGAGAAATAATCAGAGTACAAATGTGTAATTTATATTGGTCAGATGTAAAGTATATCAGCACACTGGGCTCTAACTGGCAAACTCAGAGAGATCTCCACCAGAGAAGAGCCAAGCTGTCCAGTTGTGATGGACATTTATCTTCCTGGGTTGGATCCAACCGAGTCTTGTGGGCCTGAACCCTCTGATATGATCAGATCAGCTCCCAATCCATGCAGATCCCACTGAGATGTGATCAGAAAAGTGTGTTTTGTCCTTGGAGATGAGTTCCTACTGTCTCATAGGAAAAAGAGACAAATTAGGAAGCACAATCATAGACACAGAAAAAGTTCAGTGTCTTAAAATGAACAAAACCGTCAGCAAATTATGTTAAATCCAGCACTAAATCTAGTGATAAAGTAAAACAAAGTAACACTCTAAAGTTAGTAAATTCAAGCAAATCCTAACAGATCCATAAAGAGAAAATAAACCTCATCCTTCACCCAAAACCAGCTGTGGTCAAATAACATCTGGTGCACCAACTCAAACTTAATTTGGATTATTTTTTGTATAAAAGGAGTCTTCTTTATTGTTCTGTTTCTGTATTTAGCAGATGCTTTTATCAATGCAGATGCAACATTACAGTTAGCATTAACCCAACAATGAGCTATACAGAAGGGAATCACCTGTCAAATTCTGTTATTTGCCTTAAGTTCATCAAGAAGTTTATCTGTTGGAGATCTGAAACAAACAATAATAATTCTGATAATAATTTTTTCATGTCGATCGTCATTTAAATTTCCGTTCTTTCTGTTGAACGGTTCAAATATGAATAAGATGCGAAGTGGAATAATTTTGTATTGTCCCTAAACTTCCTTTTTCTTCTGAGTTCAAACAGCTCAGCCTATCACAGCCAGGGACACTTGGCCCACTGCTGATATTCTTCTGAGTTAAAAAAAAATGTTTAAGCGTTCTTTTATTACATTAATTTAAGGTTTCTTCCAGGAAGATGATGGCTCATCACTTTCCTTCCAGTTTTGAATAATATTTTGGACAGTTTTAACCCAGACTGAGTAGTTTCTGCATCTCTTCAGATATTTTGTCTGCTTGAATTGTCTTTGATTGGATAAGGGATGAATTAGTTGATTGTGAATGTTTTTGAAAAATAAAAAATAAGATTTGCCTTTTGTTTTACTATACTAATTTAGATGTTTGTCTGTCGATATCATATGTAGATGAAAGAGCAAAAATCTAAAATTTTTTGGCATCAGAAGTCTTTCAATTGGCCAAATTATTTCTTCTCTTCGTTCAAAGAGAAGAAAAAAGGGTAAAAAAAGGAGTAAACTATATATATATATATACCAGAACTCTGATATAAATATATATTTTATTCAAGAAAATCAAATTATTCAAACTAGCGCCACTTATTAATTAATAAACATCTATTTCATAAGAGGAGGTAAATAACGGAGGAAGAGCCGTTGGTTTGGCCCCGCCCCTAGCTGTCCTCTATCACGTCCTCAGCCGAAACATATAGCCTGACCGTCCGCGGTTCAGACACACATTGATCTTTGGGAACAGCAGACTGAGACACAATGAGCGGCAGAGGAAAGGGAGGCAAAGGACTCGGTAAAGGAGGCGCTAAGCGCCACCGCAAAGTGCTCCGTGATAACATCCAGGGCATCACTAAACCCGCCATCCGCCGCCTGGCCCGCCGTGGCGGAGTCAAGCGTATCTCCGGCCTCATCTACGAGGAGACCCGCGGGGTGCTCAAGGTCTTCCTGGAGAACGTCATCCGGGACGCCGTCACCTACACCGAGCACGCCAAGAGGAAGACCGTGACCGCCATGGACGTGGTGTACGCGCTCAAGAGGCAGGGCCGCACTCTGTACGGTTTCGGAGGTTAAACTCAGCCCGGACCGACCCCTATCAACCAAAGGCTCTTTTCAGAGCCGCCCACAACCACAAAGAGCTCTGACCTGTCTGATATAATAGAACCAGATATGTGACTGCAACTGAAAACGTTCTATGCTGCCGTCTTGTGGCTGTTCCCTTTAACTACATGCTCACAACCCAAGTTTTAAAGCTACCAGAAAAGTTGTTTTATAGGTTTAAGTACTAAAATTTCAGCAGATTTTTTTTTTTTTTTCATAGCTTTGAATGCTTTTGTAAAAATGGTTAAACATCAGCTGGATATTTGATTTTATATAAAAGCATACTAAACCATCCATCCATTAGTAACACCTTATTCTCACCCTATTCTCAGAACTGGAGCCTATCCCAATAGTCAATGGGGGGGTGTCACCCTGGATGCTCCCAGTCCATCACAGGGACTATACTAAACTATATCAACTTTTTATTTTTCCCCACTATTAAATTATAGCAGAACCTCTACATATGACTTAAACTGGTTCCAGGAATGACTTCTGTGTTAAATGTTGGTATGTAAGTTCAAATATTCATTCAGAATACTCTGTAATTCCTAGAATTGGTTCCAAAAACCTACTCCTTCATAAATACTGCAGATAATTACACATTGCAAGAAAACAAATGACTTCTAGAAGAGAGATGGAAAAATAAATGATATAATTTTTTACTATGACGTCGACGTCTTCAACCAACATAGCTTATTTATTTTCATTATATTTGTATATTTTATATTTTTTTCTGACTTCAAAGTAATAAACTAGCTCAGCTTATTTGATTTTTTTAAAAACAATTTTTATATTTAATCTATGACATTGACGTCCAAAACTTACTTAGGACACGCTGGAGGAACTATGTTTCTCTTCTGGCCTGGGAACACTTCGGGATCCCCCGGAGGAGCTGGCAGTAATGAGGGGGGGGGGGGAGTCTGGGTTCAAATAGATGGATGGATAAAAGCAATGTGTCATGTGAATTAACTACATTAATCAGTTGTTTGTATCCACTGAAGCCCCATAATGTCACTGACATCTTTCCCTTTTTTAACCATACAAACATATATCAGCACACAAATGCCTGGCTATGAATCTGTTGCAGGATCACTTATTTTCTGAGATAATACTGAATATTTCTGTTTTCATTTTAGTCTGTTTCTGTATCTGAGTCTGTCTGATGGTTCTTTATGAATCTGAACTTAATAAAAGTTGATCAAAGGACCTATAAGGATCCCACAGATGTATTATTTAATTCTCTTTTGACTCTTTCTGAGGGGTCAAAGAGTTGTTTGTCACAGAGTGGCTATGTTCAATTCACATCTGGGAAAAGGTGTTTTCAAACTCCTCAATGTCCTCAGTAACATTTTTCCTGGTTGGAACTTTTCATTAACTTCATTCAGTTACATCTAAAGTCCTCTTTTCCATATTCTTTTTTCATTTTCTTCCCCTGAGAGAGAGGAGAGGCCTTCCCGCCTCTCCGGCTCAGCCAATCACAGCCAGGGACTAACGGTCTTCCCACCTCTCCAGCTCAGCCAATCACAGCCAGGTTACAGCGCAGCCATATTTCCATCCGGTCTGTATAAAAACAGTCTCTGCGCTGTTGGCATCTCATTCGTAGCTGTACAGTTCCGGATAACAAACATGCCTGAACCCGCCAAGTCTGCGCCCAAGAAGGGCTCCAAGAAAGCCGTGACCAAGACCGCCGGCAAAGGAGGCAAGAAGAAGAGAAAGACCAGGAAGGAGAGCTACGCCATCTACGTGTACAAGGTGCTGAAGCAGGTCCACCCCGACACCGGTATCTCCTCCAAGGCCATGAGCATCATGAACTCCTTCGTCAACGACATCTTTGAGCGCATCGCCGCGGAGGCTTCCCGCCTGGCTCACTACAACAAGCGCTCCACCATCACCTCCAGGGAGATCCAGACCGCCGTGCGCCTCCTGCTGCCCGGAGAACTGGCCAAGCACGCCGTGTCCGAGGGCACTAAGGCCGTCACCAAGTACACCAGCTCCAAGTGAGCATCTCACCCCGCTGTTCACCCCCCAACGGCTCTTTTCAGAGCCAACCAC